GTCCGCCATAGCCTCGGCCTACGAGAGTGAAGAGTGGGAGAGGCGGCCATGGCTATGGTGGACCTTAAGTGATACCTGCAGTAGAAGAGGGACTCAGACATTGATTCTGGATCAGTCATTCAACATTGTATTATTATTTCTTGTATGAATAAGAGAAGGGGGAGATAAGGAGGAGGAGATTGTTGGGCGAAAAAGAAGAGCCTTGTCATTGTCTTTGCTGGTGTACATCTTCTTCTTCTTCTTTTTCCTTCTTCTTCTTCTTCTAATCCTCTCTCTCTCCTCTCAAGTTCATTCATTTCTTTTTGCAATTGGATGGCATTGTACTTTCCGGTGGATGTGAATCTCGAAATTGGCCAGGGTCATAACATAGGTATCAGAGTGGATTCTACTTGCTGGTGAGAGTTGACTTTGCTGCCCCAACCCTAACCTATGTGGTTGAGGGCCACACTTACGGTTAGGGTTGGTTGGACGAGGGAAGTGGGGTAGCATGGCTAGGGGAAGCTGCCCCCACCTGGTTAGGTCATGTGGGGTCGACATAGAACCTAACCAGGTTGCTTGAGAGTGAGATTAGGGTGGCGATGCATTTCGAGGAGACTTCATGCGGCAATTTGAGGGAGGCGACAGTGAGAGGCACTCGCATCTGGAATCTGATTCAAGGGAGACACTTGGCAACTTAAGGGCTGCCCTCAAGTAGGCGAGCTTGAGGGTCAGCGGCCACTCAGCATCTACGAACTGCAAATTGCTACTTTGTTCTTCAACATCGACGGGGGATCGGGCGTTGCACTTTGGTGTTGGAGTTAGACCCTCCTAGGAGATAGGACACTAGTGTAGGGGTAGCGTTAGAGGGGTCAGGAGTACCACATGAGAGGGGGGTTGAGTTCTATTCATCTCGAAGCTCAAGGCCACTCAGGTAAGTGTCGTGCACCTACGGGATGCCCATGTATGTGTGCATGGTATTGATTGTCCTGCTGGGGTACTCTGGGTTTCTTTTCCTACTCCTCTGTGGTCTTGATTGTGTGACTGAATGCATGTGATCTACCTACTCACCTGATGGATGGAAAATGAAGTATCTTGTTATACATGCCGAGTCTTTCTACAGTGCTTTGTCTTTTCATCTCTGAACGGTTGTAGTCTGTAGGTTCTGCTAGAAGTTAAAATTTCGTTTTTCAGCGCGGTAGAGATTGAACGAAGTCCATGTGGAACTCCTCTTGGTTAGGACCTGGTTGCGACCTATGTGGGACCCCAGGGACCCAGCGGGACCGGGCCCAAACAAGAAGAGCCTCTGGACCCAAATCGGTTAGGCATTGACCTCTTGTCTTCTTGGCTGGGATACGGAGTTCCTTCTTCTTGGATTAGGACACCCACTGCCGATGGGATCTTGGCTGAGACGTTTCGCATGTCTTTTTGGATTGCACTGTCCGTGGCTTGACTCGCACCCTGTACGTCACTCAATTCTCCATTGTTGCATTTAGTCACTCGTTGTTTGGTTTGCTGTACGGTCACAGAGCTGGTCAGACTGGACTCGAGAGGACCTCGTATGCAGTCTGATCAGACTGGGTCGCTGGATCATACCTCTCGTTTGAAGTTGTTTGTTTTTCTTTAGTTTGCTACTCTCTACTTCCAAATGAAATGTCGCTCCGGCTAGGAGTTTTACCTTCTCTTCTCTGAGCTTTCAGTCTGTTTCTCAGAGTTCATTTCCGATGTTTGTGGAGACTCGCAACCGGAAAGAAGAGAGAGAGGGGAGGGAGAAAGAAAAGGGAGAGAGGGAAAGTGACCGTCTGAAGTGGGCAAGGACTGGGAAAAGGAGTGTTCGTCCAAGTGAGAGGGAGAGTGAACCTCTTGAGAGTCTAATTGATTCTTTTGCTGATTGGCGACTCTCTGACCCACCTGTCAACACTAACGGTCCAATAATGGCTCAGCTAACTTCAGTTCAATGGCGGGCCTTGTTAGATGCAACCAATGATGTCGAAAAACCATATCTACAAGCACTCTTAGATAGTGCAATCAAAAGGGAACAGGAGGCAGAGAAGGAGAGGAAGGAGACATTGCTGAAAAGGCAAATGGCCATCCTAGAGACTGTTCCCTCACTGACTGAAGAGCACTGTGGGGAACAGTTGCAGTCTATACTCACAACCCTTGTTCCAGTTAGGAATCTTGAGGATCATACCACTCAGATCGCTGAAGTCTTCACAAAGTTGCAAACACTTCAAGATAATCTGACTGATATGACCCGCAAGTACCATGAATTGACAAGGGAGGTGGCTGAGCTACGACAAGCCCAAGTGGCCAACCCTCTTCCTCTACCCCCTGGATCTGAAGTTGCAATTGAAACTACCTCTGCCTCTCTTACTGTATCTTCTTCCTTGAATGTGTTGGCAACCCCCTCGGGACCTGCAACAGGTGCAAATTCCGTTGTTGCTGTGACAAGCAGCGAGGCTGGAAATTCTGCAAATGGTGCAGCCCCAAGATTGGAACCAGTAGGAGCTGGCCCCAGCTACACTGGTCCCTATGTGGATCGTAAGGCGGTTTAAATACCGTCTAAGTACGACGGCAAAGAAGACATCGAATCCTGGATCAGCTCCATGAGGGCATATTTCGAGATTTAGGGGACTCAACCTGAGAACCAGTCCGTGATCTTGGGAATGAATGTCGAACCGGTCGTGCGGGGCTTCTTAGAGGTCCAAGCTACGTGAGCTCGGATTACTAAAATTCAACTAACAAGATGGCTTAAGGCCACCCCGGTTGCCTCCCTCGAGGAACTCCTCGTTTCACAATACCTGGATCCACATGTTACAGCAAAGGCAAGAATTCAGCTTGACAAAATCAAGCGCAGCAAGTGGTCGGCCTCCATGAAAAGCCTGCAGACCTATCTTAGCAAGATGTTTGCTACACCTGGATTGGAACTGACTGCGCAATCTTGCTTGGATGTGGTCAAAGGCGCGGTTCCCACCAACTTTACTAATCGCCTGGGCAGGTACTTCATTGGTTACACTAACTGGTTCACCTTGATGAAGGACATAGTCAGTCTTGAGGCTGTAGACCTCGTCACCACAGCAGGCAGCAAAAAGCCCATGGGCGGCAGACGGTTGAAAGGCAGCAACCGTTTTGCTGTGCATGACCTGGTGCAGGCCGAAGAAGAAGTCGATGCAGATTACCCCACTCTTGGTGACGACCAAGAACAAGACTCTGATACAACTTGTTCTTCAACCCATGAGTCTGATGCAAACAAAGAAGAAGAAAAATTTACTGCCTTTAAAAAGACTGCCAATGCAAAGGGACCGAATCGGATTGCAAGGAAGAACTATGTCCAACTTCCCAAGGGAGTCAAGATCCCACCTAAACCGGAGGATGCGACTACTAAACCTTGGGTCGACCTCCGGATTACTGAAAATGATTGGCGGGGTAGACTAAAGAAGGGGGTATGCCTGCATTGCCAAAAACCAAACCATAAGGTACAAGATTGTTATAGGCTGCAGGGAAAACAGAACCGGGCGTAGAGTCAACTTGAAGAAACTCTACAACAGGGGAGACTGAATCCGAGGCAGATCAGCAATCCTCCCTTGAAGCCCAAACATTTGCTGAACACAAGGCTAAGGTGAGTAATGTTTTGTATGTCGAGCCTTGGGAGGAGTCTGGGACGGTCGATTTTCACTATCACTTGGAGCATTGGGTTGAGATGAAACAACAACGAGCCCAGGGGACGGTGAAGTTGATCTTCTTCAAACTTCTCATAAACCATCGCTATCTCAGTGTTTTGGTTGACTGTGGTGCTACGACTAACTTTATGTCACCTCACGGGATATGCAAAGTGGGCTTGGGGATGAAGCAAGTGGCCTTGCGAAACTCTTGTCGGACCCAAGTTGCGAAACTCTTGTCGGACCCAAGTCTCTTCTACACATGCAGTCAAAGGTGTGCGCACTACCTTTGACAAAGACAAAACTGTCACACACGCTTTGAACTTCTATGGTCTTGACAAGTGCCCCTTCGACGTTGTCCTTGGCTTGGGCTAGCTGCAGTCCCAATGCGAATGGTCCAAGTGGAAGGAGTCACTTTTCATGATCAAAGATGCTCGAGGGAACGAGCTTCCTGTCCTCTTGGATGAGAAGCACGAGTCCCCAGTGACTTTTCTAAATGCTATACAGTTCTGCAAGAAATGGCGCCAGCACAAGGAGGAAGAACAGTTGTATGTTGCCTTTGTTCGTCCTACCCATGTGCCATCTACTTTTGCGGCTAATACCACTGCTACTTCGATTAGTGATCCTACCTCTAGCACCTCTATTTCTCTACCCTCTAATGGACCGAATGATCCTACTTCAGATTCAGTCGTCTCTATACGCAACCTACGACCGGATCTAGGTGATCCCTTTGCTGATCCCCCACCGCCACTAGTCCCACCAGACATCCAAAGCCTCGTCGATCGGTTTCCGGAAGTTCTGGCCGAGCGATGTGGAGTCCCCACGCGATCGGTTCGACACACCATCGAGTTGGTTGAAGATGATGTCCCTCCAAAGGGCTGCGTATACCGAATGGGACCCGGTGAGTTGGAGGAACTCCGGCGACAAATTGATGAGATGATTTACAAGGGGTAGATCAAACCTAGCGAATCTGAATTTGGTGCTCCTGTGTTGTTTGTTCCGAAGAAAGGAGGCAAACTCCGCATGTGTATTGACTATCACGGTCTAAACTGCATCACAAGAAAGAATGCCTATCCATTGCCTCGTATAGATGACTTGCTTGATGCCGCACGTGGGTGCAAGGTCTTCTCCAAGATCGATCTCAAGTCTGGCTACCACCAGATTGAAGTCGATCCTGCGGACCAGCACAAGACTGCATTCAAAACACGCGATGGGCTTTACGAGTTTACCGTAATGCCCTTCGGTCTCACGAACGCACCGACCACCTTCCAAAGCCTCATGGACAAAGTCCTCCGCGAACAGATTGGCCGGTTCGTGGTGGTCTACCTCGATGACATTCTAATCTTCAGTAAGTCCATGGAGGAACACCTCAAGCACCTTGAGGAAGTACTGACCATCCTCAAGAAGACGCAACTCCATCTCAACTTAAAGAAATCTGAGTTGGGAAGGATAGTGTCATCTATCTTGGGCACCGGTTGTCTGCTGCAGGCCTAGAGCCTGAAGCAACCAAGGTGGAGGTCATATGCAACTGGCCTCAACCCGTGAACATTCGCGAACTGCGTTCTTTTCTTGGTCTCGCGTCATACTATCGGCAGTTTGTGCCCCGCTTCTCCATTGTTGCGCGTCCATTGTCTCGACTAACAAGTAAGAATGTTCCCTACTCTTGGGACACCGCGTGCACGAACGCCTTTCAAGCCTTGAAGGACGCCTTGGTAAGTTACCCGTTACTCCACATTGCAGATCCCAAACTGACATTCGTAGTTACTACGGATGCAAGTCAGTATGGAATTGGCGCAGTGCTGCAACAAGATGACGGCGATGGCTTGCGGCCACTCGAATACTACAGCAAACGCATGCCCAACGTAAAGGTAGCCACTTCCACCTACATGCGCGAGCTCTATGCTTTGTGTATGGCGTTGGACCACTGGAAACACTATCTTTTGGGACGCCACTTCAAAGTCTTCTCAGGTCATGAGACTCTAAAGTGTATCAAACAGCGAACTACCCTGTCCCCTACCTTGCGTTGCTGGTTCCATGAGATTGACATTTTCGATTTTGAGTTGAGACACAAGAAGGGCTGTTATAATCGAGTCGTTGATGCGTTGTCTCGCTACCCTGAGTACATAACTTGCCTTGTCAAATCCTACGACCTCCAGAAGAAACTGAAGGAGGAGGTCGTAGAGCATACCGCCAAGGATCCGGAGCTGAGTTCCATCCTTGAGCGGTTGCGGGCTGACCCATCAGTCAACCTGATTTTCACGAGTATGGAGGATTGATTTTTCGTCGCTACGGGAACCACGACCATTTGTGTGTGCCCAACCATGAGCCTCTCCGCACACACTTTCTGGATTTGGCTCATGGTTGGAGCAGACACTTCGGTATGGCAAAAACGTACGCTAATTTGCCGAGACTGTTTGATTGGCCTGACATGAAAGGGACTGCTGAAAAGTTTGTGGCTGAATGTCAAGTCTGTCAACGAATGAAACCATGCAGACAAAAACCGATGGGGATACTCACACCCCTACCCATTCCCGATGGTCCCGGGAAGTCCGTCTCCATCGACTTCACCGACATGGGAAAGGTAAGTAAGAGCGGCTACTCACATGTCATGGTGATCGTTGACGGATTCTCTAAGTTCCTCAACCTAATCCCTTTGCCGCCCCACGCCCCAACAGAACTAGCGATTCGTGAGTTCCAACAGAAGTACATTCTGCAGTTCGGAACCTCGAAGACTCTTGTGAGCGATCGGGATCCGCGCTTCATTAGTACTGAGTGGAAGGACTTCACGTCTCAACTGGGGATCAAACTGTGTATGACATCTGGCCGACACCCCGAAGCCAACGGTTTGGCTGAGGAGATCAACCAGACTGTGTTTCAACTTCTTCGCGCTTTGATTATCCCGAATCAGGAAACATGGGATGAAGAGTTGTATTCCGTTAAGGGGTTATACAACAACTCCGTCCACTCCGCCACCGGCATGACACCCAACAGGCTGCATTACGGTTGGCAGATCCGGAATCCGCTCTCTTACCTATTCCCTGAGCAGCCAGCTGGTTTAACACCCGACAAACCTGGCTTCAGGGCCAAGTATGATCGCTTGCTCAAAGTTGCCATTGCAGCTATGACCAAGCGACAACACGCCATGATCCATCATGCGAACAAGAAGCGCCGACCGTCGGATATTCAGGTAGGAAGCTTTGTCTGGGTCAAGAAGTCTGAATTCTCAGAAGAAGAGGGAGTCTCACACAAACTCCTCCCTCTCTATTATGGGCCCTGGGAAGTTTTGGATGTGATTGGTGAAGATCACTTCGACCCTTCATACGTCGTTGATGTGCCAGCCCATCTGCGCACATACCCCGTGTTCCACGCAGCCAAACTGTACCTCCACCGTGATGCTAAGACATTCGATTATCGCGAAGATATGATCCCTCGCGCGATCAAAGGCGGGCACGAGATAGACAGGATCAAACAGCACGTAGGGAAGGGACGCAACAGAGTACCAGGTTCACTTCATGTATCACCCGTTAGACGATCTGTGCTGGATTTCCAAACAGGAACTGCTACGCAGTGCACCGTGTGTCGTCAAAGCATATGGGCGACAAATCGCCACTAGCGCTGTACCTAAGATCTCTGCAAAGCTCACTGCAACAGAGTACTCTAGGAATCTCTTTGCCTTGCTCGCTTACGATGCGTTTGTCGAGGACTCAGAGTGAGTTACTCGCTCGAAGGGACCTTGCTCTTTAGGGGGGAGTAGTGTGATGACCCGTCCATACATGGACTGAAACACAGCTGATTTCTGAGTTTTGCCCATATACTGAATGCCCTGCTGAGTTTCCCGCTTGCTACTAAGTCTGTGTGTGCACGCTTGCTGGACTGCATGTCTGTCTGAGTGCTGGATGGCTTGAGTGTGTGTGTGACCATGCCTGTCTGAGTGTTGGTTGGCCTGGGTGTGTGTGTGAC